TGCTTTTCAACCCCAGACCCCCCCCCCGCCCAGCCCCCGCCCCTACCCCTTTTCTTTTCTTCTTCTTTGACATACACTCCATTACCATAATCATAATAAAAATCTTTTGTTAAAAATACGTTTATGTGTATGGCATGAGAGGGGACATTTAAGTTCATATTTTCATAAGTAAACAATATTTTATTTTAGAACTTAATATTAAGGAAATACTTTAATCTTCTTTTGGATGAGAAATGTTGAAATTATCTTATTTAGTTTTATTATATATAAAAGTCATAATAAACTTTTTTTTTATAACTTTTCAATATAAAATAAAGGCGAAATGATTTGAGAGGCCTCTGTACTTATATTTGTTTGTCAGTTGAACCCTTATACTCGTTACTTTGCCAAATGAACCCTTAAACATGATACTCTATTTTTTAAACCCTTCTGACCATTGACCGAACTTATGTAACATTAAAATGACTGATTTGGACAAACGCGTGATCACACGAGTTTTAAAGCAAGTGAATACAATTTTTTTATTTTAAAAATCTGAGACAAAGCAATAATAATAAATTAAAAATAATAATCAAGAACTCCTTCTCCAGCCCACCCAACCCATCGCCACCCCCACCCCTTCTCTCTTCTTATTCTTCTTCAGCCCCACCTTTTTTCCGCTTCTTTTCAGCCACAGACCCCCCCCCCCCCACCACGCAGCCCCTCGCCCCTACCCGTTTTCTTTCTTCTTCTTTGACATACACTCCATTACCATAATAATAATAAAAATCTTTTGTTAAAAAATATCTCATTCACTTTTTTTAAAACTTGCTTTTTCAAGATCTATTGTTTGAATTTACTTATAAACATTTATTTTTTTTCAATTTAAAGTTTTCTTGATATATCTTTTTGCCAAATCTAAATAAATAGAAACCAAAAGCATGCATAAGAGCTACTTATAATCTATCACATTTTGTTATTGAGAAAATTTTTGAGTGTAAGGAAGACGAAAAATGGTGATTTTTACTTTTGGGATGAAGGGTAAAGGGTGCGGAGGAAGAAGATGAAGAGGGAATATGGGAAATGAGTATAGTGAGAGAGAAAAAAATTGCACCTTTTTAAAAAAATATTATTTATTTTTTAATATTTAATTTTTGATGTGTTATTGAAAAATAATAATAATATTGATGTGTCATTAACAAATGACGTGGAATTTTATGTGTAAAACAAGTGTAATACGCGCACACACATCTGATGAGAAAGAAGTTTAAAATATTGTGTTTGAATGAGTTTAAGGGTTCAGTTGGCAAAGTCAGAAGTACAAGGGTCCAACTTACAAACGGAGCCAAGTACAAGGGTTTCCCAGGTCATTTTGCCTAAAATAAATTTACGTAATAACAAGGAAAAAAATATTTATCATAGTCTGAATTTTGAAGTAGATGAAAAATTGCATTTTAAGAGTAAAACATGCTTTATTTATTTTAAGCAATATCATTATTAATACATGATTTGTTCACTTTACACTATATTGTTTATTATCTAATATAAAATTAAACAATAGAAAAATATAATTATAGTTAACAAAATAAATGTATATTTAATATTAACAAAGTTATGTACTTTAGCTTTTAACAAGAAAAATGTAGATGTAGACATTCAATATACATCTAATATTAACAAAAATATTACAACAAAAAGTAACCCATATTATTGTATATATTAACTCAAAATTATTGATTGAAAAATTCATACTTATCAACAAGTTTTTAAATGCAATTTCAGTTACTGATGAGTTACTCTATATTGTGATGAAAAGTAACCCATACAAAACTTGACAGTCATAAATTTGTTATACTTGCAAATGGTATTTAAGTAAGTAATAGAATGAAGCTAATGCTAACGAAGAGAATAATAGTAACAATTTGGTTGTGAATCTTTTTCATATTGTTGTGTATCAATGTTATGAAAAAATAATAATATTAAGAATGGGTTTTAATGGAGCCAAACACATATACAACCTCATTTAAACACTAAATATTATTTTTTATAATTTCTTTGTTTTTATTTATGCTCTTCAATTACTGTTTTTTTATTTTAAAAATTGATGTGGTTTCGTTAATTTTCGTAAAAAAATTAAACATTAACATACAAACATTAATTATTATTTTTTTAACAAAAAATCTTTTTAGAATTTTTATGTATTTTTTGCATGAAAAATAACTGACGACATTGTGTTTGTAACACCTCAGATATCAGACTCAAACTAAATATCAGAAAAAGGTAAATCACGGAGGGCTTCACGGGTCGTGATCAGGAGCACGACCCGTTACCCTCATCATGGTTCACGCCCACCCAGAAGTGGTGGACCACGGAGCCCTCTACGGGCCGTGGTGTGGCTCGCCAACCTTCACCAGTAGATCCCAACCCCTAGGTGAAGAACCACGCTGGCATTCACGGTCCATGGTCCTTCACACGATCCATGAAGTGGACCATAGTTGGGGGGTACCAAGGACCAGTAAGCACTGGCCAAGAACCACAACGCACTTGACGGGCCGTGGTCCCTTTGACGGTCCGTCAGTGGCTCCGTGGTTGGAGACAGAAAGAATTCAACTAGCAAAAATAAATGTATTTTTAACTTTTAAGACAAGTCTATCTCTAATTAAAAATGGAGGATAAATCAATTAGGAAAATCGGAAAAGAAATTAT